TACACCCCCTCATGTCATTTAGGTTGTGAAAGGTATCATTTCCCAAAAATTGGGTTCAAAAGTTTCCAAAAGCTTATTTTTGATAGTGGAGGTCCATGGAATTAATCTCTAGGGATTTGAAGCAATTTTTGTTATTAAACATAAAATTTAGAAAAGAAATGTTACAGTTAGTTAATATATATCTAAGATTGGTAAATATTAAGATCTACCATGTTAGGACCCCATTGGATCCACCATTCCAGGATTATTTGCTATATAGGCAGAATCTTCAAATTTAATGTAGGTTTGATAAAAAATCCGATTAGTAATCAAGGGCACTCCTCGTGCTTCATATGAAATCAACAAGAGTTGATCAATGGGACGACTTCCGGATTTGACCTAGGTTTGATAAAAATATTACGATGTTCAAATTTGGATCAAATCGGATATTTCATTAGCTTGATATTGGATTTACAAATTTTCATGGGTCGATGGATCCCATGATTAATTAATCCCATTTTTGTGGGGGAAGTACCAGAAGGTATGGACCTCTCTTCGAACATGATTTAAGTATCGAATAAATAGTAGGCTGGGGAAAAAGAAAGAAATCCATTATATCCATTTCTCGTAAAGAATCGATCAAACAATTTCAGATTTATGCTCGTTGTAAATGTTACATTTCGCAGTAAAATAATTATTTTGCTGTTTTTTGTTCAAAATGGAAGGGAACAAAGAGAAAATTCGGTACATTTTACAGGTTTTTCTTTGACAAAACCGAAAATGCAAGCCAAGCGTCTAAAATTGTGAATGTTCTTTATGGTTCCGATACTGTAACATCCAATTATTTGCAATTTTGGTTTCGTAGAGTCCGTTCAGGAATCATACAGATGCACCTCGCACAAGTTGGCAGGTCATCGAAAATGTTGATAAAATCGGAGAAATTATCGAACTTGACCGGCAAGTTAGCAAAAGTAACATCGAGCTAAAGATCGGTCCTCTAATTGTTTTATATCGAAGAGTATGTAACATCACAATCCCTAATGCTGCGTTAAAAATATCAAAAAGTCGAGATTAACAAAAAATTGTGACCCCAGGAGGACGTGGTAACATCTTCTAGTTGGCGACGAAACCGGCGACATCGTTTTTTTAATCACCCTAATGTAGCTACTCAAACGGTGCTCCAAGCAAACATTATTAAATGATTGAAGACGATATGACAAAAATATATTCCCTCCATCTTATGGCATAGCGTATTCGACTGGAAATGATACTGACTGCCAAAAAAAAAAAAAAAAAAACAACAACAATAAAGGATTAAATATTTTGTTATTAACATTTTTTACAAAATATTGCATTTCCTTAGGCAATGTACAATAAAGAACACACACAGACAAACTTTCATTGCAGTTAATGGCAATGCAACAACGAAAATTACAAATCCTAATATGGCACATTTAATTGTTCAATAAATTGGTCAACGTCAATGTGTTTCAATGTTTACCAAAAACGGCATCATTTTTATTTGAAAAAAAAAATTTCGAACAAAACAGGTGAAATTAAATTTATTCCCGATTTCATTGTTTGCCACCAAAAAACAACAACAAAATCTCACATTTTTATTTATTAACAATTTTCTGTATTTAGAAGGCCGGAAGCTGAATTTTGTTGATAATCATGCCCGCAAATCGTGGCAGACAGATGACGTTGAACGTGTGTGTGTCTGTTTAACTGCTCAAAACCACAAATCAATTGGAAAATATATTTTTGCATAACAAAATAAAGGTGATGGCGAAGCGGTGCGATTGTGATCGAATCTCCCTCCTAATATTACAAAGCATGCGTTTCATGTAAATGACTGCGCGTGTATGTCTGTGTGTATGAGTGGTTTGACATTTGCTATTTATTTGAAACAAAATTATGTTAAGTGTAATTTAAAGCTATTTTTTCAATCATGAACACGTGCTTATTGGTTTGTTTACGAATCGACACATTGTACGATACTCATTTCATGTGGCTCCAGGCTCATTTTACGCAAATACAACAATGTATGGATGTATGTCTAGATGCTTGACGGCCGTCGGCCGGGGTAATGCTGTTGGTCAAGGTTAGTGTTGTTAAGTCAAAACATCATTCAAGCTGCATACGTATATATGGACATATACAACTGTTGCTGGCTGTCTGTCACAACAATGGTCATAATGATGGCAGCAATGCCACCTTAAACTCCCGCACCTATATGACAGTGGTTCAGGTTGGAAGTGTTCTGTATTTTTATACCCTACGCAATTATGTTGTCAGGGTATTATAGCATTGTGCAGCCTCAAACGCTTGTAACACCGCGAAATATTGGTCCTAGACCCACCTTTAAGTATACCGATCGTCATATCTCGACTAGCTGAGTCGATCTAGACATGTGTGTCCGTCCGTCTGTCCATTATAATTTGTAAACACAATACAGGCCACAGAAATTTTGCATGTAGTATGGGTTCTGGCCATTGAAGAGCCCTATTGTTTTTGGAAAAGATCGGTTAATATTTAGGGGATGAAATGGACCAAAAACTTTATTTTTGTCTGATTTTCTGGTCTCTACAGAGGCCGCAATTAAGGCCCAAACGCCGCGAATTTTTGCATGGAGAAGGGGATCAGGCCAAAGAATTAGCATGCCTGTTTTGGTAAAGATAGATGGACCCTGACTTTTGTGTGAAAATGTCAAAATTTGTATTGTATGGCGTATATATTTGCCCCTGAAGGACCTAGACCCGAGAAGTTGATAGTATGTTCAAGAGGAGTGGTTGACCTTTAAATTGATACCAATTATATGGTCGTATGTATTCAGATGTGGGAGTTACATTTACATATTTACAGGTGCTTACGTATTCAGACATTATTTAGTAACCCAAAACCACACTAGAAGGCGGAAATATAGCGCTGATCGCTTTGATTTCTATGAGGTTCCAGTTATTGTCAAGGACAACGCCTATAACTTTCGGTGATGATCAGATAATAATTTTGGGATGAAGTGGACTTTGTGATCCTTTTTTTTTGGGAGATGGGTCGATCTATATGCCACAATTGAAAGCCCAACATCACAACATAACCCACGGTAAAGAGAATCTGGACAAGTACAGCCCTAGTCTACTGAATATTAGTAATATTTGTTGACCTTTAATCGGGTTTCAGGAGGGTGCAAATAGATTTTTTTTAGATTTTCGTGGAAGTTGTGTAGGGTTTTATATGGTCGGCCCCGTCCGACTATCATGCTCCGCTCGCTGGTTTTCTTTTTTTATTCCACCAACTGTACGATTATATCAGAATTTTGACCAAACAGAGCACAACACATAGTATCCGATTTTTTTTTTAATTTTCTGAACAAAAGGAATAGTAATTTGTAGACACATAGGTTGGTGAATTCGACTAGAATCTTTAAAACATCGAAAATGGTGTGGATCCCATATATGGGGGCTATGCAAAAAAAAAAAAAAAACATTTTAAAGAGATATTCTATTCTCTGAACATCCGAACTGCCTACTTATGGCCATAACGCTTTGAAACTGAGACTAGAACCTGAGGAAAGTGAGACTAGAACCTGACGGAAGTAAGACCTGAGGCTAGAACATACCGAAAATGAGGAGGGACTTTTAACTTGGGACTACGTTTAAACATTAACCTATATTGAATATTTCTGCGAGGAAGTATTTTACCTACGAAGAACCAAAAATACGGAATTACATCCACTTCGATTAAAAAATACGCTTAGGACCTCAAAACAGCCTAAAATATATCTTAATATGGGAACTATGTCAGGCATTGGACATAAATTGAAAAATTTCTGTGAAGAAATTATTATACATCCAGAACTCGGAATACCAACACATTAGGGACACAATACTTAAAATAGGGCGGTATCCTTATATAGAATCTATATTAACTAAATAACGTATACAGAAGACTGTTTGCAGCTACTTCGATAAGGAAATGTTCCTAGCGCTATCGGAATACTTAAATCTGTCGAGACCTCTATTTTCTGCAAAGAAGTTTTTTTTTACCAATTAAGATTCCTGAATTTTAAATTGCAGCCTCTTCGTCAGAAAATTTCTTAACTTAAATCGATTGGGATGTGAAAATGTTTTTGGCGCATTATCATATCCCTTCAAAATGTTGAGGTACCGTTAAGACGAGTACTGTAATATACCCGGTTTCAGTACCAAACCTCCTAAGAGTAGAATCAATCAATATACAAACTTTCATACGTCTGTCCTAAAATATTATTCGGCGAATTTTTCAAGGTATATATACCATATACATTTTTATATTTAATTTAATTTTTGCATATCAAATCAAACCACTGTGCGTAACTATTGCGTTTTGATCTGCGGTCAACATCAATTGATTAAGAAGCGAAAAAACACACATATATATTCATAAAATAAATAGTGAACAATTGTTGTTTTGTTTATGATCGGTTTGTCATTTGGTGGTTTTATTTGCTGTCTGTCCGTCCGTCCATTTAACCAAACATCTTCTATTCGTCTGCCAATACAAAGTGCTACATTGCGCCAGGCAAAGTATTTGTAATGTTAACAAACATCCGTAATCTATGAAATTGTGTAGCAATGATGACTCCAATAGCGAACATAGGTTTAACACCTCTCCGATAGACGTCTCTCTCAGATACAACCAAAACAAAATCTTGTGAATGTTATTAACCCGCATAATGTTTAGGTGTTTGTAATGCGGGAACTTGAACTTTTATTTTGTTTATTTTTATTTCTTATCACCCACAAATAGCTTTTGGGATAAGATATTTAAAAATAAAGATATTAAAAATATATTAACAAAAGAAGACGGTTCGCCAAACCAGGTGAACAAAAACAAAATCCCTCAAATGTCGATGGATACCAGAAAATAGTTTTTTAGTGTCTGGTTTGGTCAAAAGGTCAAAAGATGGAGATACGATTTCATAATTCCGTATCCACTTGTTTTTAATTTTTAATAATTTATTTTTGCTTTTATCGACTTACCTATAAATTCATTGCGTATTCGTATTCGATCTTGTAATGATGCCGCCGATATTATCACACAATTAATGAATGCCAATAGGGCGACCTGATATTCAATGTTCGTTGCTTTTTCCAATTCGTTGATGACAATTTTAAAACGGTAGCGTTCATTTTTGAGATTCTGTAAAAATAAGGGAAGAAAAAAAATTAGTAAATGTATATGTTAGAATTAAACTATGAATAAAACCCTCTAAAAAGAAGTTCTAGAAAATTACTGAATGTTATAAGGAATTTCGCAAATCATTTACATTTAGAACAAGTAAAAAATATTGTTAGTCACAATTTTTCGGAATAAGTAATTCTCAAGATGATAGGTTTTTCTTTTAATTTATATTTGTTATAGTGGATTCTCACATCCTAAACAGAACTGAAAATTATTTAAAAATTTGTTAATAAACCCTCTCAAACCCCCCTGAGAACCAAAAATACAAAATATCGAACATTGTGTGTGTGGTGTTATATGGAGACTTGTGTTAAAAATATTTTCTACTGAATGAAGAAAGACATCCGAACTGAAAACAAAGAATTTTTCTTATCTCTGGACATCCGAACTGAATACTTATTACCATATCTCAGTGAAAATTAGAACCTTAGGCTAGAACATATCGGAAATGAGGTTGACCTTTAAATTGGGACCTCACTTTTGGAACCTCACTTTTTATTGTTTCCAGTAGGTATTTTACGTCTGAACCAACGAAATACTAAGTAACTATGTGCATATGTAGGTAAATTTAGTTTGAATTTTAAAAAACCCGAAATGGTGCGAATCCTTTATATGGGGTCTATGTCAAAAACCTTGATATTTCAAGAGGTCTTATATTCTATGAACACCCGACTTGCCTAATTATGGCCATATCGCTTTGACAGTGAGACTGGAACATACCGAACCTTTAAATTTGAACTATGTCAAAACATGAACCTATAATGAATATATATAACCACTTGCATATATCAATTATCTAAAATAAACCTATGGCCCAGACTTTTACGGAATAAACATATGGCCCAAACTTTTACGTTTTGACATTTAATGAAGGGTTTTCAGATGTTCGACCCGGCCGAACTTAACGACGTTTTTAGTTTTTTCTTTGGTATTTTTTCATACCATAGGTCATTTTTCTCAAGCCTCGGAGTTTTGATATTTTAATATAAATAACTTCCTCAGGTCCAAGGCCTTAGAAATGGATAGTTTTCCATAGAAATGATTCTCAGCCCACAGGGTACGTACCGAAAATTTTCTATTAAGGGGACCCCACCCATTCTCGATTTTATTTTTTCAAGATTTTCAATGGGCTGGTAAATCAATACGAATGCTTGTTAAGGTTTGTAACTTTGCACATATATAATTGAAGATTTAAAAGAGAAGAAAAATAATTTACAAAAAATTTTTGTTATTGTTTTGTTGTTGTTTTTTGTAATTAAAGAAAAGTCCTTATTTTTGATGGCGGGCATGATAACTCCTCACTGGAACATCGGAATCCGAAAATTCCAACGGTGTTAGAAAGAGTACATGTCTGGCTCTCGTATGAACTAGGATTATTGACTTCGCTCTAAAATTAACAAAATGGCGGACCTTTGAAAAAATATTTTTGGAAAATCGCCGATTTTTGACCAAAAACCAAGTTAAAAAATAAGGAAGATCTTCACCGATTGGCTTTATCCTAGTTCATACGATAGCTACACACTCACAGAGAAACGTGTGAAAATTTGGAATCGATTGGGTTATTAGTTTTTGAGTTATCGTGCCCGCCATTCGCAAAAAAATGTTTAGAGAAAAACGCGTTTAAAGTTTGAGAAGCCCTTCAGCCGTCACTTGATGCTGACTCAATAAATCGGCTATATCTTCAAGAGTTCTTGAGATTTTCACTTGAAATTTTGTAGGGACATTCTTTAATTAGTGTAGATTCAAATTATATATACAACATTTTTGACCCCGAGAATGGGGGGGGTCCCCTTAAATAAATTTCAGAATAAAATAGGTGTATAAGTTTGATACTTTCTGACTCATCTTCCCGAGCTCAGTCAATCACGTCTGCTGATTGACACCACGGGCATCTCCTCGGCAAGTTTCTCAGCGGAGACCGTAGAGTGCTGATGCCACCGAGCGGTGGTTGTTGCTGTTTTGCTCTCCTTGCTTGACCTTTTCTCCCATTGGAATATGTACATTTGAACTTTCTTTTCCATACACCATTAACTGCTTGGGAATTCTTGTTGTTGTTGAGATCTTAACCCCCGCTCCCACGAGTTAATAGATTGATCTCCCCTATCCACCACAACACCCACGGCGAGGAGAAGAGCAAATCCCTCGCCTCAACAATAGGTTTCTATAAAAAAAATTATTAGACTCCAAGATATCAAGTTGATCTTACAGAAATTGCTCTTTGGAATAAAATTAAGGGGACCCCCCCATTCTCGGGGTCAAAATTTTTGTTGATATAATTCGAATCTACACTGATTAAAGAATGTCTCTACAAAATTTCAAGTGAAAATCTCAAGAACTCTTGAAGATATAGCCGATTTATTGTGTCAGCATCAAGTGACGGCTGAAGGGCTTCTCAAACTTTAAACGCGTTTTTCTCTAAACATTTTTTTGCGAATGGCGGGCACGATAACTCAAAAACTAATAATCCAATCGGTTCCAAATTTTGCAACGTTTCTCTGGGAGTGTATAGCTCTCGTATGAACTAGGATAAAGCCAATCGGTGAAGATCTTCCTTATTTTTTAACTTGGTTTTGGTAAAAAATCGGCGATTTTCCAAAAATATTTTTTCAAAGGTCCACCATTTTATTAATTTTAGAGCGAAGTCTATAATCCTAGTTCATACGAGAGCCACACATGTACTCTTTCTAACACCGTTGGAATTTTCGGATTCCGATGTTCCAGTGAGGAGTTATCATGCCCGCCATCAAAAATAAGGACTTTTCTTTAATTACAAAAAACAACAACAAAACAATAACAAAATTTTTTTGTAAATTATTTTTCTTCTCTTTTAAATCTTCAAATATATATGTGCAAAGTTACAAAACTTAACAAGCATTGGTATTGATTTACCAGCCCATTGAAAATCTTCAAAAATTAAAATCGAGAATGGGTGGGGTTCCCTTAAATGAAATTTTACGTTATGTTTACAAACATCGGAATCAAATTTAACAATAAGTATTCTATGTAATTTTTTGTGTCAATCGGACATATATGGTCAAACTTGTAGGATCTAGAGCGACCTGAAAATTCACAATTACCAAAAAAATAGGGTTCGTCTTTGGAAAGAAACAAATCTAGAAGCAAAATTATGTGAACATCGCTTCATAACTGTGGGTGTACTTTGTTTACAAATTATAACGAACAGACGGACCGACGCACATGTCTTGATCGAGATAGGATCGGTATCTAAAAGCTGGGTCTAATGCCAATATTTCGGGACATTATAAACTCTTGGGTCACACAAAGCTATAGTACCCTTACAACATAGTTGTGTAGGGTATAAGAATATTTAAACCCCATTAAATACTTAAATGTATCTCCAATATCGGTCCTCTTAGATCAATATACTTTTTTTCAACGTTTCTATAATTAATTATTAATTATATAACGAGAAATAGATTTCATTTTGGGATAGTGAATAAGTGAGATGTTGGACTCCCCTTCCCAAATAAATATTTTCTCTACCGTAATTTAAGGAAACATTTTTTTATGGAATATCTCTCAAACGTTATATCTATATATTGAATAGTTTTTCTTTCCTAAATCTGTCGAAGATATCTTGATAGTTTTTAATCTTCAAAGTTTTACTTCTTAATGTTCTTCTATATATCAACAATTAAATATATAATTTAAAAAGTAGTATATAAAATAACGGTACATACCTTATAAAATTCTAATGTTTCTATGGCACGAGTATAACCATCGGCATTATATGCACATAAGGCTGATAGTAATTCGAATACTTGTTTTTTAACTACGGCATTGTTGGTATCTAATGCAGTACCTAATTTCGAAATATAATCACGATTTTCGACAATGTAATCCAGGCCGATGCGTGAGTCCATAGTGGTGTCGATAAATAAAGGCTCCGCGTAGACTATGTCTAGGGCGGGCACGTTCCTTGTTGTGGGTTCTTATAGTTTGTGATGTGTTCGAAGTTCAAATAGTTAATTTTTAGGGTTTAATATCGTTTTGTATTTCCGTCTTTTTCAGTTAAGGTTCCAAATAAAATTTCGTTGATACGTATTTTTTCCCAACTGCATTTAGTGTTTTAGGGGTGCCGTGTAATTGACAATTAAAACAACAACAGCCACAATGCAAGTAAGTTGGTTGGCTTTGGATGTGATTGTTTGATGCCGGCAACGACAAATGTCTAAAACGTGATGTCATTTGTTGTAATTACTCCTTCGGAATTTTTAATTAGTTCATATGCAATAATATATGTTCTTGGTGTTGTTGCTACTGTTGTTGTAGTTGTTGTCTGCAGTGACATGACGGGTATTTGTTGCTGCGGTGCCTGTTCCCAATTCTTAAACGAAATCTGGGTGGGGTATTCACTATAGGTGAGGGAAAATACTGCAGTCTAGAAGAAAAAAAGAAAAACAATAACAAAAAAATAAATTAATAAATAGTTTAAAGGATTTCGATACAAAAAACATTTGAGTTTCAAATCAATTTCCCAGATATTAAAAAAATAATCTTTAGAATTGTAATAATATTTATATTCTGTTGATGTAATTGTTGTTATTTCACTAAATCTTATTATTAATTTACAATATATTATTGTTGTAGTTTTGGTTTTTTGTTGTGATAATTACAGATGTAAAATGCTGATAGCACTGATCTTGTGTTGGCGTTGTTGACAATGCCAAGGGCTTTGTGTTTATTGGCCCGCTGTTGAATTCTTAATGTGATATTCTGGTTGGTTGGTGTGTGAGCGTGTGAGTGTGTGTGCACGCCTGCTTTTTGGGGTTCGATTTTAATTAATTTATTGCCATTGAACAAGCTCGAATGCTTCGGCATTTGTGGTGTGTTTGCTTGACCGGTCATCGAACGACTGACTGGCTGATCCACACAATGCTTTTGATCTTGGCCACCAGAGACCAAATCGAGTCATTCATTATTGGGAGGTCTGGCGGCCTTTACTAGAATTTGTTGTTTTTTCTTCTTTTGGTTTTCAAGACAGCACCTTATATGTATTGTTGTGGAAAGTCGGCATTTGTTGTTATTGTTATTCATATTTTTAGTTGCTTTGACAACTTGGACAACACCAATGAGAATATCTCTCTCCTCTTGTGAATGGGATTTTCGTGATCATCATAAATTAATTGTTGGAATAAAAATGTTGTGTTTGGTTTTGTTTTTAGTATTTGATCTTGTTTGACTTTATCAACAGAACACCAATTTCATTAATAGTCAATAATAATATTTATTTGTTTCATTCATAAAAAATCAAATGGATAAGAAATAACACACACACGCACGACACACCAACAAATTCTTTGAACCGCCTCTAAAGGCCATTGTCTGGTTTATTGAAGCGTTGATAAATCTTTTCAACGTTGTTTTAATAAAATATGACCGTAGTTTTTTTTTAATTCTGTTTAAAAAAATGGGCGGTAAATTCGTTTTTGGTAGGCGTTCAATAAAACTCCTTTATTGAAATTCTAATATTGTTTCTTAACACTTGTGTAGATTCAGAAGTTGAGATTGCATAGACCGGCGCATGTTTGGTGTCTAACATGAGACAAGATCAAACCTTTAGAAATATCCCAATATTTTTAGAAGATTATGTGAAAATTTAAATATAAGACCGGACAATATTATTAACCTGTGCACCACCCTGCTTTGTATGTTGAAGGTTTGAGGTCCACAAACATCCTATTGATTATGTTGGTACCTGATAAGGTAATTTGGAATGTATAATCACGAGTCAATTTTGATAGGTCCGTTGAAGTATAGGTCTAAATGGTCATCTAATTGCAATGAAATTTGACACAACTCATCGAATTGCGTCAAAGACGAATCTTAATGAAATATTAGATATATTATTTCGTCTGATTTCAGATAAATGGCTCACGAAATACGTCGCGTCTGTCTTATTAACACGAAATTGTGTGCACTAGCAACGGCAGATTATAATGACGAATGTTTTATTCCATTCGGTTCAGATTTAGATATAGCACTCTTATATGTTCTTATTTGTATGGTATAACAACTTGAGGCTAGAGTGGCTAGTGCTTAGTTTTATTCGAATGAGTTCAGATAAAAATATAGCTCCCACGTATGTTTTCCTTCGATTCAATATAAATAGTATATAAGAGAAAATTATATGTCCGATTGACACGAAATTTTGCAACTGGGTTATATTTGACATATTTCCCATATAACGGTATCGTCAAGATTTTCCGTAAAGGTAAAGATTTTGAGGGGTTGTAAATTTGTGTTTCGGATTCTATGCGGAAATTTGTCAATATAGGTTCACGTATACACATAACCATATTTTTGAAGATTTTTGCCGTATTTTTCAAGCAAAGAGTGAATTTCCAGATGTGTTCGCGTAATTTTTAAATATATTTTAGTATACCGATCGTCATATCTCGGCTTGCTGAGCCGTTCTAGACATGTATGTCCGTCCATTTTAATTTGTAAATATTATACAGGCCACAGTTCTGGACCAATCGTCACGAATTTTTGCATGTAGTACGGGTTCTGGCCAATGAAGACTCCTATTTTTGGAAATGATCGGTTAATACATACGGGATGATATGGACCAACAAATTTATATTTGTCTGTTTTTCTGGTCGCTATAGAGGCCACAGTTATGACCATGACCATGAAATAAGCATCACAATATTTAGCTGGTCAAATTGACCCAGACTTTTCTATGTGGAAAATTACAAAATTTGTATTCTATGGCTCTTGAAGGATATAGACCCGAGAAGTTGATAGGACATCCAAGAGAAGTGTTTGACCTTTCAATGTATGAACTCGGATGTGGGAGTTTCCTTTAATACTTACAGGTGTCTACGTATTCTGATATAGTTTAATGATAATGTATTACCATTACTACACTAGAGGGTAGAAATTTAGCGCTAGGGTTCCATGGGGAAGGTCATCTGATAAACTAATTCGAATGGCTGGCTTGATAATAAACGGTCAATATTGGGCGGGTCAGATGAACCAAAACGGTTATGTTCGAAATAACAATATTTGAATATTATGGAGTAAATTTTTACTCCAGTAATACATAATTCGGAAAAGCTGTCACACTGGAGCTATTGGCCACTAAACGGTTACGAGAGTGAAAATATATGGGAAAAAGAAATCCATTATTAATTTTTTTTGCATAAATGGTTTAAAACGGTTATGGTCGATGGTGCCGGTCAACTTCGATCATTTTTCCGATTTTATGGACATTTTCGACAACCGGCCGACCTGTGCGAGGTGCATCTTTAACATAAAAATTCCTGAACGGAATCTTCGAAACCAACCTTCATTTTCAAACACCATGTAATTCACAACTGAATGACCAAAGAAAAAAAAAACAGCAACATATTTTTATACCCTTCACCACACTGTGATACAGGGTATTATGTCTTTGTGCATATATTTGAAACAGGCCAATGGAAACGAGATAAGTCGATTTATGCATGTACGTCCGTCTGTCTGTCCATGTTAAATTGTGAACAAAGTACAGGTCGCATTTATTATTCGAATTGGGTGAAATTTGGCACAGCTCATTCATTTGGCCCAAGGACGAACCCTATTGAAATTGGGAAAAATCTTTCGATTTGCACGAAATTTGGCACAGCGTACTGAATTAAGCCTAGAATGATGCGTGCGAAGTTTTGTAAAAATAGGTTCAGATTTAGATATAGCTCCAATATATATTTTCGTCCGATTTAATGTAAATGATGCACCCAAGACCCTATATATCTTTCGATTTGCACGAAATTTGGCACAGCGTTCTGAATTGGGTCTGGAGTCATGACTGCCAAGTTTCGTGGAAATCGGTTCAGATTTGGATATAGCTCACATACATATTCTTGTCCGATTTTGTGGAAAACTTGTACCAAAGCCTCTACATTTCTTTTGATTTGCACGCAATTGGTATAGCGTACTGAATTAAGTCTAAAATGATGTGTGTTAAATTTCGTGAAAATTGGTTAAGATTTAAATATAGCTCCCTTATATATTTTCTTCCGATTTAAGGTAAATGGTTTGCCAAAGTCCCTATATGCCGTTCAATTTGCACGAAATTTGACATAGCGTACTGACATAAGTCTAGAATGACGTGTGTTAATTTTCCTGAAAATTCAGATTTAGATATATCTGCCACATATATATTTTCATCCGATTTTAGGTAAACGGTGCACTAAACTCCTCCGATTGAAATTTAGCATAGGTTGCAGAAAAGCATGTATATGGATTGATGTTAGTCGGTTCATTCATTGATAAAGATCAAATCAAAACAATTGTTTTTAATGGAATTTAAAAAAATGAGAATACCCATATGTAGAATATGCCTGAAGTGGTGAAGGGTATCATATAGTCGGCCCAGCCCGACTTTACTACTTTTCTTACTGGTTATAGTAGGTTTTGAAAATTTTATGCATTAAACGATCCATTTCTGGTATTCAACTGAAATGAGAGAAATTGTTTCAAGAACTTAATTTGACAAATTTCGAATTCCAGTCTTGTACCTTTGATACCACAATATGGATAACCCTTAATTTTTTATGTCGTTATAATGGGCACATTCAAATACATGTATTTATGGCACCCGACACATGGCTACTGAATGCATTATTTAACATCTTATAAATATAAATATAAGAAACTATTTTCTTATAAATATTAATAGAGAACTCAATATGATCAAGAATGGGCAACAAATCCACTGAATGGGTTAATAGCTTCAGAGGCAAGCTAAACGTTTAAAACGACTTTAATATGATTTTGATTGTTTCTGTCTTTTCTTAATTTCATTCGAAGATAACAACTTAATCAATTATATGTTTGACCAATCAAAAACGTTGACAAAAACGCTACAAGCATCAATCGATAAAAAACCTGATCTTAAAGAATTCAAATCGAATGGATAACAAAATAAAATA